TTAAAATAACAAAAAACAACAACATCAACACTCAAAGTTTATAACTGAAAAAGAATCCATCATTTTCTATGTAAAATACATAGGGAGACTACAAGAGCAGTTAGTAGGGTTCACTTCAATATTGATGGTACAATTGTTTTCATTTTTGGTGTGATATACATATTATTAAGGTACCTGTAATCAACGAAGTCGTTAACAAATAAAGCCATAGCAATTTGGTGCATAAATAGTTCAGAGAAATGTGTTTGAAAAACTGGTAATTATATAGCTAAAGCTTTATTTTAAGTTGTATGGTCTGGTCATTAGATAAAAGGATAATTCATTTCGCCTCTCTAATTGGGCAGAGTGTGACCTAGATTCGTGACCCGTTACCATACAAACAACAACAACAACAAAAATTCATTTCCATGGTCCATTACCGTAAAAAAAAAGAAATTATGTTCCACAATTTGGGGTTGTGGGTGCTATTCGGGTTTTAATTATCCTCAAAATGGCTTCTATTTCTACTTAGATGACGTCACAAACCTTACTTTGGGATCACCTGATAGAGCAGTTCTTCACTCTTCTTCTTCTCTTCCAAGAAGGCAGATGTTTTTTCTTCCACTAGTTGTTCCAGATTGGTAGCATACTGTTCCATTCGAGTCAACAGATTGTCCAGAAAATTCCCACTCCCCATTCCCCTATGGAATATGAAACAATTAAGGCTTTTTAATAAAGGGAGTCCCGAAGTGATGTTTACTATTTACAAATGCCATGAAAGTATATATATATATATACAAGTAGTGTCTGTTGAAAGTAGCCACATGTTACATCTTGACACGAGTTCTATGCTGCAAATGCAAAAACCGAAGTAAAACAATATGCTCTACCAAGTAATGCGACATTTTATAGGGCTGCCAAAGTCTTCCATCAGAAGTTACCAAAGTCTTCCATCAGAAGTTATCAAATTAATTTGTTAGGCTTGAACATACAAAGTAACGGTTTGTTTGTTTGAAGTTAGCACAAAGCTACACAATGGGCTCTCTGTGCTCTGCCCACTATGGGTATCAAAACCCGGCCTCTGGCGTTGTAAGTCCACAGACATACCGATGTGCCATTGATGAGCCTATTCCATGGTTGTATGATTATAGTTAAGCGTGAAGTTATACAATGGGCTATCTGGTCTGTGCCAACCACGGTATCGAAACCCGATTTTTAGCGTCATATGTCTGCAGATTTACTGTTGATCTACGGGAGGGAGCTTGTTATAAACCACAAACACTAACAATAATATGTAGAAATTCTGTTCTGTCAAACGACCCTGTGACGTAACTCGTTTTTCACAGTATGGTTTATTCCAAAAATAGCAACAGAAAACGAGAATATAAAGTCTGGGTTTTACACTAATGGCTTTCTGAATAACAGTAATTTCTCGGTATATCGAGAGTTATGTTCTGTTGGTCGGTACATAGAGGGTTATGTTCTGTTGGTTGGTACATAGAGGGTTATGTTATGTTGGTCGGTACATCGAGGATTGTGTTATGTTGGTCGATACGTCGAGGGCTGTGTTATGTTGGTCGGTACATCGAGGGTTATGTTTTGTTGGTCGGTACATCGAGGGTTGTGTTATGTTGGTTGGTACATAGAGGGTTATGTTTTGTTGGTTGGTACATCGAGGGTTATGTTGTGTTGGTCGGTACAACGAGGATTGTGTTATGTTGGTCGATACGTCGAGGGTTGTGTTATGTTGGTCGGTACATCGAGGGTTGTGTTATGTTGGTCGGTATATCGAGGGTTGTGTTATGTTGGTCGGTATATCGAGGGTTGTGGTATGTTGGTCGGTACATAGAGGGTTATGTTTTGTTGGTTGGTACATCGAGGGTTGTGTTATGTTGGTTGGTACATCGAGGGTTATGCATGTAAGTGATAACACTTCTGTGACCGCGACAAGTACAATGTACACCTAACACCAGGTGGCTTGTAGACTTTCGCTACACGTCCCTATTCTAACGCCCTTGGCTAAATGTCGCTATTGTAACATCCTAGGCTACATGTTACTATTCTAACATTCTAGGCTACATGTAAATATTCTGACATCCTTGGCTCAAGACAGTATTTGAACGCCCTTGGCTACGTGCCACTATTCTAAATAGTAAGTTTGATTTGATCAGTCAGTCACTTACGATTACTGACATCCTAGGTGTTGATTTTATAGGCTTAAGAAATTACCTAAAACTTTCGGCAGGTATCTAAGATAACTATTTACTATTTATCAGTAACAACTTTACTTATTGTTAAACATAACCTTACTTGGCAGATTCTTACTGACGATTGTTAAATATAACCTTACTTGTCAGATTCTTATTGACGATTGTTAAATATAACCTTACTTGGCAGGTTCTTATTAACGATTGTTAAACACAGCCTTACTTGGCAGATTCTTACTGACGATTGTTAAATATAACCTTACTTGGCAGATTCTTACTGACGATTGTTAAATATAACCTTACTTGTCAGATTCTTACTGACGATTGTTAAATATAACCTTACTTGGCAGGTTCTTATTGACGATTGTTATACATAACCTTTCTTTGCAAGTTCTTATTGACGATTGTTAAACATAACCTTACTTGGCAGATTTTTACTGACGATTGTTAAATATAACCTTACTTGTCAGGTTCTTACTGACGATTATTAAATATAACCTAACTTGTCAGGTTTTTACTGTTGAATG